TATTTATACCTATCCCACCGGTGGCGTGACCCAAGTAGTACGCTTCTCCAAGAGCGACCCCTCAGGGAACATAAACCCGTCGGCCACTTACTGTAATAAGTGCCGTTTCGCGTATGGTCGCGACAGTGATCAAATAAATCTAAACTTAAGCATACAAACTAAAAAACCACTTAAAAAAATGAAATTCGATTTGATAAATAAAATAAAAAAATCAACCTATATTCAAAAACAAAATTAGATTTGAAAAATTAAAACAAATTATTTTGAACGTTAGCGCGGGGTTAGAACCAAAGTAGCACTTTTGAACAACAGAACAATAATTTTCAAATGTTTCTTCAGCGTATACATCATATTCTACAAATTAAGTTTAATAAATCATTTCCTAAATTACCTCTAAAAGACAAGTGTAAAACTTCAAGACTACTTTAATTATAGATATAGTATTGACTTATTCTTTTTAAATAAAATATTGTTGCGCTGGTTCGCTATAAGATCTTAAGAAAATTTGAAAGATGGCAGTTCAGCATATTTTATGTACCGACAGTCTAACGTACCGATCGTTGCTGATCGATGGCCGATTGATCGCCGACGCCGTCTTACTGTTTTCGGCATTCATGCTTCTTCTGCTTTCCATCTTTGGCTGCTCTTTTGTTGTAAAACTTTTGCTAGATAGCGTTTTGTACTAGGTCTTACAGCAAAAACTGATAACAAAAGAACGCCAATAAAAGACTGTTTGCAAAGATAGAAATAATGAAATCAGCTTACAACAAATTATAAAGTGACTGCAGCCTTAAAAGTAATATTGTAACTCTACAGAGTACTTTTTTTTTAAGGCTACATTAAGCATTAAGATTAGCTCTAAGCCTTAAGATTTAATATTAATCATTTTTTGTTTTGAGTATACTCTGTTTGATTATTTACTAGTTGACTTCCACGGAAATTTATTTACCATTCGGCAAAAATCATTGCTGGCAGAGGAAGATTTTGAACTGAGCAAACGTTCTTTGCATAGTGCTTGCTCTGAAAATGTAAGAGGCAACAATGCTTGGTAGTTTGCCAGGTAAACGATATAAGTATTTTTACTTTTGCGTCTTAACTTCATTATGTACAAGAGATCGGCATTTTTCTGAAGTTTTAGTGTTTATAAACTTTGGGCGATATTTGCCTTACAAGTAATATGTAAATCTATAACGGAGACTATCAGCAGATCGGCAACTTTTTAAGCAGAATGCATTTTAATCTTCTACTGTGAATCTTACTGTCAACGATAGCTGTAACCACTAATACGAAATTTGTTGCTTTTAATTAAGGCTTTCTTGTCATCGCTCTTATAACTGTGCTGCAATTTAAAAATCAAGCTATGTAAAATATTTTATCAATCTGTTTACTTTTGGGTTTACTAGTATCACTTCTGTGTCGACAGTGGAGCTGTACCATGGAAAAATTTGAACTGTTTCATGCTAGCTCGCATGTTTTTTTATTTGATGTCTTGGCATTCTTTCAAGTTTTGCTACTTAATAGAATCAGGGCCTTGATATGCCAAACCAGAGAGAGGACTAGGAAAAGTGAACTCTTTGCCAAGTTACACCTTCTTAAAGCCCCAAATATGCCAGGTTGCTGCTCGCCATGCCCATCTTTCCTGATCCGTAGTTCAGCACAACCTTAATAAATTTTAAAAACTTTTGGTTATCAAATTTTTAATTCTTCTGCTTTCAAACGTATACTATATTATTTGATTCCAGTGGGCAGTTAAATAAATAAAAAAAAAAAACAAAAATTCATGCAAATTATTGAAAACAAATGCATCTTTAAATGTTTAAAAACGATATCACAAATTGGCGAAACCATTTCAGCCAAATCAAAAGCTACGAACTGAAAAAAGATTATAAGACTGAAAAAAGCACTGCTTTTACAGCAATCCCTCAAATTTTACAAGTTTACTAAACTTAGCGTTGTTTCATCACTGTAAGCTTTGAGATTAAGCTTAGCTGGAGATTTACAGATTGTTGAAACTCAAAAAGTTCAAACAAAGCATTTGCCGTTACTTTGCGTAACTGTTCAAAAATTACGTTTGGGAGGAAAGCTGTTTGTCATGCAAGAACCAAAAAGCTTCTCTGCCTCTCTTTGATAATGAACAATTTGATAATTTTGGTTAAGCAGTTATCTCTCCAGCGGCATTGACGTTATCAATTTGAGCCACAGAGAGTTCTTGAGCACCAACTTGCCTGTTTAATTTTACTAACTTTTCGGGTTACTGCAAGTTTTTATGTATGCAAAATACATTAAAAACATTCGAATTCTAGGGAGAATTACTACAAGAAAATTGAATTTTTTCAATTAGCTCAAACTTGTCACCAGAACGGTGCAAAAACAAGTTCTTCTAACATCGCCACAAAAAAAAGTAGAGTTTATTGGTGGTTTTTTTAAATCATTTTTCTTCGCTATTTTGATAATTTTGAGTGTCAAAAACTTACTTTTCCTTCTCTTTTATTTTTAATGATGACATCTCCTTCGACTTGGAGAAAGGTTGAATTTCGAAAAAGATGTTGTCTAAAAAGCAGCGTATTTCCCAGTTATGTTATAAATTGCGTTAACTCAAAATAAATTTTGGTTTTTCCACAGATCCACCTTTCTAGTGTTTGTCTGGAGCAACCGTGTGGGAAAAAAGTACGCTTAAAACGATCAAAATTGAATAACCTCTGAGTAAGCCAAACTAAAAAAACGCCTCAGTTGCTCCAATTTAAATAAACGCGGTAGCCACTCTGACGGGATTTGCGGGAATTGGCAGTGAAATACTAACAAATAGCGCTGCACAACTTCATAACACAGATAATTTTTTGACAATTGAAGAAAATTATTGAAAATTTGAAGAAACAGTTTTACTGGTAGAAGCCCTTCTCTGCTTTCAGCTATGCGGTAGCCACATTGAACCGCGGAAAGAATGCTTTTAGGCAACAGTGCTGTTTCAAGTTTCTTTTTTTGATATAAGTTTGCCTAATCTCTCTCATTTAGGCCCACACTGTCTTTTTCCTGTGCTCCGGTGGACCGTATTTACAGTCAATTAAGGACTGGATGTTGAGACAATATCTTAACGAAATCCCCCATAAATGCTCGGCAGGCTTTAACCGACAGCTCTTAATTATCTGCCACAGTGGAGTACTTTGACTCCTAGCTGAGATTTTACACTTGATCCAAAGTTTTCATGAGAGTTAAGTGACAGACCTGTTCTTTCTCACTAGTTTGTATGTAGATATCAAACAGTGTCTACTTTTGTTCATCAATTTGCAATAACACTATTTTAATTATTAATAATTATTAATAATATACACTTAACTATTGGCATTATAAATATGATATTACAAACCCTTACAGCTAATGCCTATTTGCCACATATTACAATATAGTACATGATGACTGAAAACGATTCTACAGATAAGAATTTCACTACAGCTACAACACAGTGAACGAGAGGAAACATGAGAAAACCCAAACCTTCACTAAGAAACCAACGAAATCACTTGTCTGATTTGCGATAATAGCCAAACCTTGTCACAGAATCTCAAAATAATGTTTAAACGTAAGAACCTCATTTTTACTAAGAACTGCTCTTCATATACACTGTGCAATTATACAAACAACACCAATAATTTCAATGTTTGACAGTATTAGCACTGAGAGTACTCAGACTTAAAAATAGATAATAGCATCTGCACAATGTCGTCGAAAACTTTTAGAGATGCAGCAATTTCTCGCACGATGAATTCCGGATAAGGATGTAACTTTAACTTACCTTCAATGCTATCCCATAGTTTTATCATCTTCTCTAAAAAGATTCTATCGTCCTTCCAAAATTTGAGATCCTCATTTTGATGAATATACAACCATATCCAGCCAATTTCTGCCAAATAGTTGGCCTACAAAAAGTTATCGCTTTCTCGCGTTTCCGCCTTCTCTCTTGATTCCAGAAATACCAATTGAAGTATAATTAAAAATCTTTATTTTTAACAGCTATGAAAAAGTAAGCAATTCTAAAATTAACCCACCACAGACTGACGTTCTATAACCTCTGATATACCACAAAGATGAGGCTTTAGGTCGACTATTTCATCAGATACTGAAAAAAGTAAGCTGGATGGGAAATTGCATTTCCGCCTTTCACGAGCTTCGCGCCATAGCTTGCAGTAACTAGCTTTGACAGCAAACGGCGGAGAATACTTTCTACGCATTTGCTACTATTTCTTCAACCTTAAATAATAGATGACATTTAAAAAAATTAGCTTCGGCATAAGCTCATTATTCTCTTTCTTGAAGAAATTTCTGAAAGTTACAAGATAAGCTGTTATAAATTTTTAACCTAAAAAAGACCGTGGAGAGAAATTTTTCAGAGAACTTTTAACAGGATAAGAAGTGGATAAACATCACGATGTATTTGTGACAACAAATGTTGCCGAAGATACGATAAAAAGAACCAACAAGACGCCTGTTTGCACGTCCAAGGACTTTAAGACTATATTGAAAATTGTTTACCAACTATTTCTCTCTTATTTCTAACCATAAATAACTGAAGCGAACACATTTTTTAGTAAAATAGCTGAACTTTGCTTATTTTATAATACCTACCACGAATAAACATCTCGTTCCAATGACGAACTAAGATTTTTCCGGTACTGCAGTCGTAGATCACGTATGGATGACAGCCGCACCTACCAGTCTTGACTTGATCGCCCGTTTCAAAAGTATTCTGGCATACAAAGCATTCCAGACAATCATTACTTCCTGCAGCTCACCTTTTAACTGCATCTCCACATATTTTCCTACAAAAAACAAAAGCCGTAGTTTTGAAACTATAGAAAGTGCCACAATTTATAGGTCCCCTGAAGATAAATAAATTGGAACTGAAGAGCACACGATAACCTGTCATTTCGAATTTTTCAGTCCATTCCTTTGCTTCGTCACATCTTAAAGACCAATGTGGTGCGTGTCCACAAAGTGAACAAGAGCGTTGAAAACATTTTGAGCATTTCAGTGTATTATAGTGTACTGCAGTTGGTAAAATACCAATTTGTAGGCAATTGCCGCAACAAGCCGTTTGGTTATCAATAAACTTTGCTTTACTTCTGAGGCTTTGCCGAATGTAGAACATAAAAAAAGGAACTGGTAGTAATGATTGTACAGTTTCCAGTGGAACTTCTGACTCACATTCCAGTGCCTAAAGCAATCACTATAAATATAAAAAGATGCTTGATACTACTTTAAAAATCTTTTCCTCGCTGCGCAGGCGTTAGACTTCATAATCTTACATTGGATAAACATCACAATGTATTTGTGACAACAAATGTTGCCGAAGACAGCCAACGCAGATGTCCTGACAGCAGTTTGAGATGACTATTCCAGATGTCACAAGACAGCCACAAACCAAGCAGATTGAGGTCTAAAATCAAAAAGAAATTATATATATATGTATATATATATATATATATAT